CCAGTGGTGTTACGCTTTTTTTAGCAAGTCTGAGAAAATATGCCTATTAGTAACTTGGTGAAACCTTTCTTAGTAAAACTATAGGATCAATTAAAACGTTTGAGTGAGTGTGTTAGTGAGTGAGTTTAGTTTTACGCCGCACTCAGCAATATTCCAGCTATATGGCGGCGGTTTGTAAATAATCGAGTCTGGACCAGACAATCCATTGATCAACAGCATGAGCATCGATCTCGTCAATTGGGAACCGATGACATGTGTCAACCAAGACAGCGAGCCTGACCACCCGATCCCGTTAGTCGCCTTTTGCGACAAGCATGGGTTACTGAAGATCAATATTCTAACCCGGACCTTCACGGGTTAAAACGTTTGACTTCAGTTGGACCTCCTTTAGTTCTAACAGAGAATGTCTTCAAGAAACCTAGAACACGTAAGGAAATTGAATTTATAGCTTCTGAGGTGGTAACAAGCTGAGTGGGTGAGTGAATTGGGTTTAACGCTTTTGATGTAACAAAGGTAGACAAGGCAAACCGATAAACAATATCAAGGTGAATCTAGGATTCAAACCACAGATTTCTGGGACACGTCAAGGACACATATCTTCACATCGGAGCAATATCATTTACACGCCAGGGAATAATCTGTCTCGAATATCTGCAGAACCAGAGTCTTTAGGACGCCAAATGCAATTAACTGTGAACATGGTTCCCGCCTTTCTCATATATAGTCAGTTACGCTAAATATTCATGAAAGCAAAGCATTGTTGAGATGACATGATATACATTCATGGATACGTTCATCAAGAATGTCCTCTAAAGTTTCATACTCAAATATAAGTGATTCTGACTGTTCAACTTTGCTTCTCAAAGACTGAAATTGTTGAAAATATCTGAAAGTAAGATGGTGCGCCTTGGGATGATTTTTTCTGCTTTTCATTACAGAATATGTGACATCCAGAACAGCCGATATTGACGTACGAGCGTAAGGTTTTTTACATGTAGAAGAGACACTACCATCCATAAACGATGTTGAGGTTGTACACGTCGACTTCTATTGCATACTACGACGTTACTTTGATATGTTCCGTCCTCGTGTGCCGTTACAGACGTCGACGGTGATATAAATGACAGTTAATTTCAAGACTCTATCCGACACCACTGATCGAGAATGACAGGTTTATTTGAGAGGAAGCGCTGTAGCTGATACAGCGTCCTTTACCAGTCGGTACACGATAGGAACAATTTCATTTGAGAGACTGCACAGCGTATATTGATACAGGGGTTGTAATGGAAGTGTCCTTCACAATGTCGTATCGAATGATAGCACAACCCACGCTTAGTTAGCCGTTAGTTAAGTTAAGAAGTTTTAAAGGAGTTATATTTTCACCAAATATACATACATGCCATGTTAAATGAATCATGGTATTCTCTTCCTATTTCAAACAGAACTCAGACATTGTATTTAACAACTGCATGCGTTTATTCCAAATAACCACTGTCCCAACGTCAAAAAGTCATAACCAAAGCTGCATTAGATCCTCAGTAAATTACTTTCAAGCAAACAGAAATTATCTTTCTTCTTAACGTTTTGAGACCTCAGAAATATAGAAACGTGGTTGTCTGAAGTGAAGAAATGATCTGGGTTTATTTTTGAAATATATATATATAATGTCACATAAAATCTTTCAATACATAGCAAACAATGGATGGCGTCTTCATGGGTAGTATGTTTCTATAGGCATCTTCTCAAACAATGAAGACTATTGAATAGTCGTACCAACAAGCCAATGAGCACACGGCAAAAAACATGATGCTCATTGAGAAGTCCTGTTCAACAATTAACCTGTATTCATGCCCCTTTAGACATTGTCTTATCACAATACCAAAGGCTGTTGCCACCATGTTCGTATTCTTCTTTGTCACAACATAACATCAATTGTATTAAACGTACGTGACGTTTCGGTCAAATTCAGATTCATGTACCCTTCCTTTCAGTGTAACGATATAGTGGTACCGATCTGTAACTATGAGATGTGGTGGGTGAGTGACTGGCCGAAGTATTCGCTTGACCTCGTCGATGGGTGTACAACATGAGGACCGTTTGCCGGATCTACGGCAGAGCTGTTACCGGAATATTCATGAATTCATGATAACTGCTACTCGGTCTACCGCACATATCAACCAACTGAAGCATAATATATACCTTAGGACATAATAATACCGGTCTTTGAATGGCATTTATCCATGTTAACTGCTACCTGCTTAGGAACAGAGGGTGAAATTTTCACCTAATGAAGGAGAACGGATATACATGTACTACGAAACGTTGTGTTCCTCATAACAAAGAAGTTGACATGCATAAAACTCTCTTCCTTATGGATAATACATCCATTGAGATAATAATGAACATCACAAAACTGTACACAATATAGAACGTTAGTGTAAAGGAATAACCAATATCAACTATTTATAGAAGTCGTTTGCCATACTCCATCTCCCATCAGCATATTCAGCACCAAAAGCACACAGATCAAGGATAACCAAGTGTAATGGTACATGGTCGTCTTCATCTATATGGATCAATGTACAGACTGCCGATGCTTCAGACAGATGACAGGGCATTTCCATAATACCGGTCTTCTATCCAAATGTGTCTTTCATGGAAACAGTCAGTCTGGGAGTAGATTATGGTCAATGCAGTCAATGTAATGCCTCATAGTTTTCTTAAATCTGTCTAGGAAATTCTGGGATATTGTATTCAGCACCATATACACACCACTTCAACGATACATCCTACGCCTGATCGCCATTGTATCAGAATATTGTTTAAGGTCAAACAGATCGAATCCTGTCCGTTCGTGATATTTCTTGTCTGGTCGTGAAGGAGGAAATTTTATGTTTCAATGAGTATTGTCACTTGTACATCAACTATAATGGATGTTGGCAGTACTTAGGATAGCAATCAAAAGGCATATAGTAATTCATATAGGCTGTTATCACAACGTGAGACAGCGAAGCGTCTTGGGGTATTTTATCTTAATATTTCCTCAGTGGCGAAGGTCTCCAATAGCATGTGCGTACGCACATGTGTGTGTGTGTGTCAATACAGCTGCTTGTACAAGTTAGTACAAATGCAAAGTTCGAATACACTGCATACCACGTAACAGTTTAACATGGATACTCTGCTCATTATACTGACCCCGAGGAGTCCTCCTTGCTTTATCTACTAGAACCCAGGCGCAAGGCAAGGCAATAACAAGTGCCATCTTTCACGTCTTTTGCCGAGACGTAGATATCAGACCGCTCCTGTTAGACGTTCAATCCACGCGACAATTGAGGCTGACAGTTTACTCAGTACTCAGAATTGTGTGTCTAAACAGCCTTAGAAATAATGAAGTAAGAAGCAAAGCTGCGATATCGCTTCAATATTAGCATCGAGCTCCGGATTCTGCGCTTCATCGTGTCTTTCAACAGTTTCAAACTATGACGAGGAATACAACTAGTAAAGTTATGACCAGAAACTTTGTCAGTTTATCTGTTGACAAATTAATTGAAAATGCTAAGGTATGTCCAGGCAAAAACTTAAGCAAATCCCCTTTTTAAAAAAAAATCACCATACATGTAGGTATCTAGTGAGAATGTAGGATTCCTATCATAAGTGCTAATCCACACATTCTTAGAATCGCCATCGCATCAAACAATATGATTTTGAGTTGACTCTCTGGAGAGTTGAAATAATGGTAATATCTTTTATACGTATCTGTATTTTTTGCAAACGGAATCTGACAGACTGATCAAACTTAACAAAAAGAATCAACCGATTAATGAAAAATATAAATGCGATGATAAAAAGGTTCAGCTGCCATTGTCATAAAAAGTTCCCTTTTCCCCACAAAAGTAATGAAGGCAATAATAAGCCATTTATAATATTTCCTGCAATTTCATCGTCATTCTACACGCACACGAATTCCCCTTTGAAACCAATTAGCCATACATGGAGATATTGGGGATTAGCATTACCCAATTATAGAAATCCAATTCATTTCCTATGGGTAGAAGCTGACGATCCTACTAATCTACTTTCACCATATATTACATAACGTCGGATCCAGACCGACGCCAGCCTATGAAAATTGTCAATGGCAAAAGATTCCAGTCATGCTTCTTGAAATAATATTGCGCGTTATTTAATAAGGTCAATCAGTAGGGATTCTAGCAAGATAAAGTTTCTAATTTGCAGTGAAAAGGATTACATACTTCAGCCTTGCGTTTTTTCCGTGCATGTTTTTGCTTTTGGTTTAAATTTGTATCTCATCCCTCTAATCCTATTGTCAGTAAACGTGGGTGTTTTGTGCGCTGTATGGGCTTACATGTATGACGAGATTAGAAACAGTATGAACATAATTCTATTTAAGGTTTTCACAGAAATGAAAAAATACTTCATGAATACTCAGAAACAAGTACAACGTGACTGATAACTGTCACCATATCATAATAGCATGGCGTGAGTGAGTGAGTGGGTGAGTGAGTGAGTGGGTGGGTGAGTGAGTGAGAGAACTATTTTGTTACAATTCATGACGTATCCGTTTTTGGAGCGAATCCAAGCACCATGAACTTGTGCCGAGAGACAGCTGGGCAAATCCAGGATTCGAACTCAAAGTAACCTACCCTTGCAATTGACTGAAAGTTTGCCCGTGTAACAAACTTGGTGGTAACACAAAAAGATTGAATACATATTCAAGGTAGTTTCAATTTTGTTCGTGTTTGAAAGGAATGAGTGAGCGATTTTAGTTTTACGCCGCACTCTGTAAATAATTGAATCTGGACCAGAAAATCCAGTGATCTACAGCATCAGCATCGATCTATTGGGATACGATGCCATTTGTCACCGAAGTCAGCGAGCCTGGCCTGACCACCCGACCCCATTACTCGCCTTCTAACGGGTCTTGTCTGAAAGGAGAAATATCATGTGTTAAACTCGTTTTCTATCTGTCATGTACTTACCAGAAAGAGCAAGTATTTTGATGATTATAATAGGGACCCAGCAGGCAAAGTCTGTAATAACAATGAAGAAGAACCTCTTGACCAAACACCGGTCTCTGCTTTCTCTCGTAGTCCGAAGAGGAACTGCTGTCCTCTGTATGGACAGAAACATAGCAGCGTAGGCATAACTGATGAAAGCAAAAGACACCGAGTTCACCCCAAGTATTAGAATGGCCGAATATTCCCAGCCTTTCACATGGGGATCGTGTAAATGTAACGGAATGCACACAGCATTATCACTATAGAACGACTTTCCAAAGTAGTCTAATCCAAGAACAGGTATAACTCCCATAAGAATGGCCATCGTCCACAAACTCCCCATGGCAAGGTATGCCACTTTCAGACCACGCTTCCTGAAAGACAACGGATACATGATGCTCATGTATCGGTCCATTGTTATCAGAGTCAGAGTCATCACAGACATCTCACTGCTGACTGTGGACAGGATTCCAGAAACGTTGCACTCCCAACTGTTCCTCCAGTCTTCATCGTGGAACATGTATACACCTCTGTACATTTTATCCCTGGAACCTATGATTAGAAGGTAAATGCCCATCAGCATGTCGGCCAGAGAAAGGTTCTTGATGAAGAATGAGTGAATTTGGTTGTCCTCCTTCAGAAGAAACCGCCCAAGAAGCACCACGATGTTTCCAGCGCAAGCAAGAGCTGCCACGACCCAGACACTGATCCTAAGCACGACATTCTCCAGAAGGTTGTCTTTGCTGGATATCCCATCTCCATCGGGCGTACACACCACGTCTTGTACATAGGCACACATGTAAAACTTTTCAAAGTAGCTGAAAACAAAGAAAATATATATGATTTTCATATGCAAAAGCGTCAAGTGTTTGTGCATGTTTTCCATTCTAACATTGTGTCACATTGTGTATATGTACACACTGTCAAATCTGATACTTTGTTTACAGGTGAAAGACTCAGTGTCACGTCTCACTAAGTAGTATCTCGACAATTTAATAATTGTCGACGGTATCATTGGTTTGATTCTTTGTTAAGGGGACTCTATGATGTGAAGGAAGGATAACAATATATGGATGAACAACTTCTGTATTGCTGTGAGAGCGACGTTTCGGTGTATGTTCTAACACGGGTACATCGTTAGAATGACTAATGAAGTGTGATATTGCTTTTAATGCAAACTCCTATCGGACAAATCGAATATGCTCAATACATGAATGGAAGCAAGTCCTAGTAAGTCGTATCTATCCTTCGTGGATTAATGCTGAATGTTTCAGAATTATATTAGCTGGGAACCGAAGACCCATGTTGGTTATTCTTCAGTCATGTCACTATTTGAAACTCTGCAATGGATACAGGGTGTAACTACAAGCAACAGAACCATGTCCTTTATCAGCAGAAATATGTGCAGAGTTTGAAAATGTGCGACTTTATCATCAATATTTGTTCATGATTCACAATCAAATTATGAGGTTTCGAGGTCTTCGCCTAATAGAAAATGTTATAACCCTTGTAAATTGATTCAAAGACGCTTCACATCCATATAAAGTATTGGTATGATTAAAGAAACACAAATACACTATACAACTTTTGACAGGGAAGATTTTCAAGAGGGTTCACATGTAGGTCAGGTTGGTACAACCACGGCAATATTTGTATGCTTGGAGAAGATGAGCTCTTGTCACAGAAGAGTTTATTATTACAATATTAGTGTCCGTGTTTGAATTGGTTCTGAAATGTGTTATGATCATACTGAACATTGGGGATAATTGCCAATTTACACCTTTCAAATAAATTCCTATTCCAAATTAACTTTGCAGTGTGAGTGAACCGTGTTTGCATGCGTTCACTATTTGATTGTTCACATCAATGATAAGTCTTAAAAAATAATCTGATTTGTTTAGATATGTCTTATAAATAATCAAATGGTTATTGGTGTTTTTATCTAACCTTGACCTGTACATTATCGAAACTGGTCTGACCTAAATAATAAGTTGTTTTCTGTACGACGTCATCACACGCAATGATTGCGGTGGCATAGATTTTCCAACCGATCCCCCTTTTTCTTTGGGCTATCAGATGATGTGTTCTGATTATTGGGTATCTGAAAACACTATCAACGTCAATATCGTTCAATACGAAACGCGCGTTACTGATATAATATTTTTATTTAATTTATGGTTCTAACAACTTTGATGACAGTATTCGAATTTTCAGATCACACCTGCTGGGACCCATTCGTGACTTCAGATATATTTCTCGGTTAGTAGTTTGATTTATCGATGTTCGAGCGTGTATTTGAACACTAAACCCCATGTCATCGACAAAGGATTCTTTAACTGGACTAATAACAAGAAACATCATGTTAAATGAGTGGACGTCATGTTGATGACTCAATAATGTTACTTTCTGAAAAATTGGTCTTGCAGATAACTGCCTGTTTATTGCTTGGTGTAACGTCAATCTCGTCACAAGAACGCTTATTGAACCCCCAAAGTATCTACTTCATAATTTCAGACTATGAATAACACATCGAGAAAATTATTACTCTAAAAATAGTTTGGGAATTCTAAAAATGATGCTACACGCAGCAATTCCGTCAGTGTTTAATTGATCAAAAATGATACAGGCTGTTTAATAGTTTACAGATTACAAAAATGCACTGGAACTTATTGAACGCAATTTCCTCAGTTAATACTTAACCCTCATCGTCCGCGAACGGTTTCATAACATGGTGCCTTATTAATCACTACCTATCCCGGAATAGCTTTATTGAATATCTGAAACTCCCAGACTCGCAGATCAATGTCAAGCTTGAGATATATCACCGCATACACTCAATGCACTTGCGTCTGAAAATACCGGAGCCTTTTCATTAACGCCATCGTAACGCCGGTATATTCTACGACCTTTTAATCATCTTAACGTCCGACGGCAATCTCCACCCTTTCTGATTAAGGACGTGTATACGATTGTGTCAGCCCTGAAGTGGAACAAATGTGTTTGAAAGGAAACTGCCAATCGTATTCCAAAAAGGAACGTCAAATAAATTTCAGTGTTTATAGGTTCGTAAAGTACTTTGCACTGCTTTACCACGCTTCGTGAGTCTGTGTAAATTTCTCTGACATGTGCTTAATGAAGTCAACAACCCAGACGCATTAGGGTTAACATCCGAGCAAGAGTCATTATTGCACTGCAATATTCCTTTAGAGAAAAGTATAAGAATTTCAAATCATTTATGACATCGAGAGTGATAAAACGTTAAAAAACTAAGAAATCAGTAACATTTGATTAATAAAACTAATAGATGAAAACAATTTATGTTGTTTTCTTTTAGGCAGTGTGAAGAAGATGCGGTAAGGTTTTGGGATGTGTCAATTCAATTCAGTGATGGTTTCACAACACTGTTAGGTTGTTTGTGGTTATTTGGTAAGTTCTTGTGGTTGCCATGGCTACAAATGTCAACGTACTGTTATAGGTATCCTGGGATTAACATTAAGTAGATAGGCGCCACCAAGTGTTGCACAAAAACATTACAATATATTTGGGAAGCTTTTTTCGCTGCTTCTTGTCAGTAACTAGAAGTCAATCACATTAAACGTAGAGAAAGATATTCATGATCGGCGGACAGTGTAAATGTTTTTCAAAGATATCCAAGTATTTTCTTTTATAAACATAAACTAGCATTTAATGTTTATGTAATGTTGCTTACATGAACTTAAGTCCGTGGATCTTCGTAAATGTCTCCTTGGGTATCTGCCGAAACGGATTTAGCGTCATGTCTCTGAAATACAATACAATTGTACGTATCATTCAACGCAAGGATCGTATTAAAGGATCCCAGAAGAAGGTATATATGAAACATAAGATTATAAGATTCAGAAACACCTTTAAACTTCATCTTAAGCGAGATTTTATGTCAGACATAGCCATTTGATGATGCTCATTGTTTTAAATTTAATTGTATCCGCCAAGTCGTGCCCGTTTAATCAACCCTCGAGAGAAATTCAGGTAATGCGATTTGGCAAAGGGAAACGGGAAATTAGGATGTCGTCATTTGAACGTAATGTGTGGAGAACTCCACTGAATAATGGGAATAAGATATTTTAGCTATCATTTCATTGTGTAAAGAGAGTTGACGATGCCTTTTCGGAAGTTTCCCAAATGAATGTTCCAGCAACACATTGTATTAATGCAGGGAACAGAGCCAGACATCCGGCGTGACGAGAGATCACTGCAACCTCTTGGCTGCCTCACCGCCGATTACTGCCATGGCTTCCGGTATATACTTACACCGATTGCAGGGACGACAGCGGGTCGAATGCACCTTCAGATATAGTTCCTATGTCATTCTTCATCAGAAACCTGCACAAAAAGGTATATGGTGATTAAAAATGAAACTACTGTTCCAGATGAAATGAGTTTTCCTGAAATGTCGTCAGTGAAATACCAAAGTAACAGTAGAAGAAAAAACACTGAAATAACATATCTTCACAGCAATGTGGTAATGTATACATGTAACGAAACAGCATACATATTTCATTATTACGGTATGTAACATTTTTGTTTGCATGGTTGTTTTCTTTTTCGGTTTTGTTTTGCTTTTGTTTGTTGTTTGTTGTTTTTGTTATCATATTCCAGTTTTTTGGTTCTTATCCACCGGGGCTACATGTCCAAGGTCCCGTTCCTGAAAGCGATTGTAGCGCTACGACTGTCGTAAGTAATATTATTACCAGTGCCCCCTCCCTCAAAGCGATCGTAGCGCTAAGATGATCGTAACTCCCATACATTAACATAGACTTACGACAGTCGTAGCGCTACGATCGCTTTGAGGGAAGGGGCACTGGTAATAATATTACTACTAAAAACAACACTACTGCTAGTGCTAGTACCGCTGGAATTGTACCCATTACTAAACAGTGTTAACATTAATTCTAATCTGTTTGGGGCGGTAGGGTAGCCTAATGGTTAAAGCGTTGGCTCGTCACACCGAAGACCCGGGTTCGAATCCCCGCATGGGTACAATGTGTGAAGCCCATTTCTGGTGTCCCCCGCCGTTATGTTGCTCGAATATTGCTAAAAGCGGCGTAAAACCAAACTCAGTCAGTCAGTCTTATCCACCGAATGAGAATTGGCACACATAGAGACATACAGCATTGTCAGCTGCCCCAGGCCGTCAAACGTTCCTTTCATGAGACCGGGTATCTTGTTATGCGACAGGCTCCTTGAAAAACAAAATCAAGCATAAACATTAAAGACATGATGGAACATTGAACTCTACATCAGGAAGATTGGCACGTCCACATACACAACCTTTGCGAAATATGCCATACAGTGGGTTAATGCAGAACTAACATTTAGGTTAAATGAAACGTCTTGTTATATATTCATTTGACATTTGTGGTATCGCGTGTTTAATCTTTCGATGCTTTATCAACAAATTGCCAGCTTTATATCGATAATCGATTTAGGTAAAAACAAAACAGAGTTGGTTCATTAGGCCAAAATCTTAACCGCTAAATCCCTGTTTCAGTACACTTGAACCTATAAGAAGCAAAAAAACAGTTACTGTATCCTGTTACTATAAACCGCTCTGTCATGGGATTCGAACAAAGTTTTTCTGTAGTTAAGCAGGTAGGCACCAAGTGTTCACCACTCTCGCACACTCCAACTTACAATATGTTTAGTTCGTTCATGCTTGCAAACGAACCAGCTTCAATATACTCGATATTGTTGTAGGACAGCATACTGCAAGAAATAAATGCCAGTGACTGTAGACGATGACCTATAGGTGTGCCTCTTTGTTGGAAGCATATTTGAAAATGTTGGTCAAAAGAAAGCGTACATTTCAAAATTGGATAGGACCCCAAAATTATACATATTAACACGGTATAAGTCAGAAACAGCTACAAAAGTGATACAAACATAAATTCCTGAAACAAATCACGATATACCCATTCACAGCTGGGTGGACTGGGACACATAGTCACAGTACTTTGTCCATGTTCACTGCACGTTGCTGTACCCGCAACTAGGTGTTTGCACGTATTTATGTGGCCACCATCTGGTCAAATACCAACGGATTCGTGGGTTCTTTTAAGTGCACAGGGTTGTGTACTGTACACTAGGGGTTGTGACAACACTGAAAGAGTCTGCACACAAAGTTGACTCCAAGGTTTTTATACCCGGTCACAGGTGGGCTCGATCCCGACACCTCAACCTCGCTGGATCACTAGCCTGGCGCCTTAGCCAGCTCGCCCACCGCGCCCTCCTTATTAAACGATCACCACTGAATAACCATGTCTTGTTTCTTTCATTTTAGCAACATCAAGCATGGGCGAATACTTTCTTTTGCACGGGGGACTTAGAGTTGGTTAAAGCGTCAGCTGGCTTTAACCACTGTACTACCCAAACGTCCCGATCCCTATTATAGGTTTGAGATGCTACACATTCCTAATTGGATCGAATTCCCACAAGTCTTCAACTACTGCAACACAGTTTTAAACGAATGCGAAAAATAATTATCCCTTTTAGGATACCCAAAGATGGCCCCCAAAACAGATAAATAATGGTTCTATTTTAGACGCAAGAATGACAGAAATAAATGCACTGGTTCAATTAAAAATTAAAAATTCTTCAATACAATGTCTAATTTTATTACGACATACTATGGAAATTGTAAGATTTTATATGGTGTAAACGTATTTCTAAAATTATCGATCATACCGTTAGCTTTAAAACACTCTATGGATTCATGACTATGTAATGTCTTTCATCAACCCGCACCAGTTTCATTTAAATTTAATTAAATCATTATCCGATATCTCATACAAAAGATTCTGCTAGTGTTGTATAAAATTGGAATATATAATTTATAATTAACATCATACACGTAAATCTTTGAATTTTCCATCTTACTCTGGGGACATAATTTCTACAATGGATAAAGAAAACACCAGTGCCATACAAAACGAAGAGAGGTCCTAAGAGCGCCAAAATTGTGCTAACGATTTATGGCCAAATACCGACGTCATTCAGTACAGTAGCTTTTACTATCAGCAATAGTATTATCACGACCATAATGGGACTAACTAAGAATGAGTGAAGCACTTCTGAGATGAATATAATGCCCTTGTATCCAAATAGTACCGAATAATAGGTAACCTGAAATAGATTTAGCTAACTATATTTGCTTGAAAATTTCCCACGTTCCATATTTAAAGTCCGTTAACACGTAGTATATCCAGACGTATGTTGTTCAAACGCCATTCACGTCATACGCTTAATTTATTCATACGTAGTTACACGTACAGGGAAGTGGTTTTATTTATTTCTGTCACTTCCATATATGTTACAGCCCCTAGTCATCAATGTATTCCCTAAAGGTTATGCACCCTGTTAAAAAGAAGTATAAAAATAATGATGCTATTCTCAAAGTCAAAGGACTGCCAGTGTTTCTATAACGTTGACGTCATCTGTCATTCAGAAATACATTTAGCTGACGCAACATCAATACTTTCATCCTCCTCGGAAACACGGAGTCCTCCTTAAAAATGTCAGAGCTATAATTGCCCCTATGATTAGTAAGGGGTCTTTTATACTTACAGCCTGTGAAGGTGGTGAAGCTGGTCAAAAAATGACGGGCGGATTTCCGCCAGTCCATTACCACTCAAATCTCTGAAAGAAAACGTGAAATCAACGTGATATCAATAATCAGCTTGCTGTTTCAAGAATGGAATTGACAACTTGACGTGGACACTGGTCGATGTCGATTAAGACGGTTATACAGATCTTTATTAACCTCAAAACACGTGTAGCATGCAATACTCTTAATATCTCGCCAATGCGTCGATGACCTTGAAGGCGCTAACGCTGCGGAACTTTTTAAAAACATTGTTTTCACGTTTTTCGATACAATTAGAAATATGGCTGCGTAAAAAAGTAAGAGGTCTCAAAATAATGTTAAGCATGCACTCCCTTTACACAAATATGTCAGATATAATTAAAAGCGAAAAATGCCTTTCTGTAATTATATGAAATATCTAAATTCCATTGGTTCCATTGAAGAATTCTGACTCTATCACGATCAAGAGTTCATGAATCTGATTCACTATCAATCAATGGTGTCTTATCGAATATGTTCAGAAGAAAATCCGGTCATAATTATTAAATAATGCCGATATAGCAATTTTCATCACTTCTTCGCATTCTGATATATCACGATCAAGTGTTCGTGAATCACTATCAATGAGTGAGGATTTACAGAATATTCTCTTGTGAAAATCCGGTCATAATTATGAAATAATGCAGATATAGCAAGTATCTTCACTTTCTTCTACAAATCACATATAGCAAGTATCTTCACTTTCTTCTACAAATCACATATAGCAAGTATCTTCACTTTCTTCTACAAATCACATTTAGCAAGTATCTTCACTTTCTTCTACAAATCACATATAGCAAGTATCTTCACCTTCTTCTACAAATCACTAGTATACAAGTGGTTTGGATAAAATATGAATGAAACTAAAGGGAAATGTCTCTGACGCTGAGGCGGAAAATAATCAAATTGGAATCCAGTCCCAAAAGGTAGAGAATGCCGTAATGTCTAGTGCATTCTCCCCAATGTTGGCAACGAGTCATTAAGTCGGTTACTCACAGATCCTGTAAATGGGGCGTCCATGAAAAGGCACCGCTTTCTATTAAGCTGATTTTATTCCTTGCCAGATTTCTGTAAAACACATGACAATCACAACAGGTGAAATCAAGTGCAGAATTGCATGACAATTATGTGTAGGTAATTGAATAGCGATGATGATCGGGGAACTATAATAAGAATTATCCAGTTGGCTGCTGATGGCTGAGAATGTAGTCTAAGAGTCAGGGACTTCGGCGACACAAATCTTCAGACGTGCTATAGACTTGGTAAACTTCATGTTTGGGGTTTTTTCGCTTATCGGTTCCAAAACAGACTGACTGTATTTCAGTGCAAGACCCTTACAGATATTGGCAGGGAAGAGATTGACACATATTAAGGAGTTGATTGTAAGGTCTCATTGAGCGGTATTGCAGCAATATGCTGGAATCAACGGTAATAGATAACTCTTGACAGGAACGAGAATGAAGGCGTATGTGGTCAACAACAAACATGATGAAATCGACAAAAATGTGTCCATATTCCATAGCCAGATGTACCACCCCCGCTATATCATAGTAAATAGGGATGGTTACAGCTGTTCGCGAAAAGGTGAAAACTGCCTGTCCCACCAGTGGCACACGTTATAGACACATGCAAAATCAATTGTTCGCCTATAACTTTGTCTTCAGTGTTCACACTGTTTCATATCAGCATCTTTTTGCTTGTTGCAGAGGCATTGATGGCAGTGTCTATGGGGTTGCAAGTTCTGCCCATTAAGCACCTAATAAACACTTCGTCGTGGGTTCAATTACGCGTCTACTCCTGGCATAGACAACCGAGATAAAACTAAACATTTTTATTGTTTAAAGCGGCTCTAAACTCACGCACTCATTCAATCACTCAACCGTGGTTGTTTTTCCTTCGACCATGTTTTGAGAGTATGTTATGTTTACTAAGCCTAATATACCATGGATCTTGAATGTTTTAATGCTATTTAAGAAAGATTCGTCCTTAGTCTCCAATTCAAAACTATTTATGATCCTACTCATTTTTTCACTATACATTTCTGACAATTGTGGTATGCAAATAATTCTCACAGATGACATATACATACTTACAATTTATAGAGGTGCTCCAAATATCGCAGATCGAACTCTCCGAGTACACGTATCTGATTTTGGCTGAGAGTTCTGAAAATAAACCCGAAATAATTATTGTTCCATTTCATCAACATTGATGTCAAACAAGGAATATATAACAAAGAGAAATATTCAAATGCTGATTTTCTTTGTGATGCGTTATGCGTATGAGTTAATGCATGTATTGTTTTACGCCGCACGCAGCAACATTTCAGCCAAATGGCAGCAGCGTGTCTGTGCGAGACAAGTATATATTTTGGGAAATATTGTTTTGTGTTATGTGATACTTTGACGTAACTTTCTGTATTCTGTGCGAATGTGTTTTGTACTGTTCTTTTTTTTTCTTTTTTTTTGGGGAGGGGGGGGTTGTTGTAAGTCTTAATTACTTTCTTTGATGTGATGTGTTGGTTATGGCGCGTGTTATTCTCTTTTTATTCCAAAATGGGGGGATGTTTTGTGTTTCTTACAATGTGTTGTGAATGAATGTTAAAATTGTAGATCTTATCCCATAGATTCAGAAATGTTATCGTGTATACAGAAAATACGTATTACGATTATTCATATTCAATGTATATCCTGCATGCTCAATGCTCATGTTATGATGTGTTGAGTTGTATTGTATTACATTGTGTTTCAGTGATGATGATGATGATGATGATGAGATGTTATGATGTGTTGAGTTGTATTGTATTGTATTACATTGTGTTTCAGTGATGATGATGACATGTTATGATGTGTTGAGTTGTATTGTATTACATTGTGTTTCAGTGATGATGATGATGATGATGATGATGAGATGTTATGATGTGTTGGGTTGTATTGTATTGTATTACATTGTGTTTCAGTGATTGAGGTGATGATGATGATGACATGTTATGATGTGTTGAGTAGTATTTATTACATTGTGTTTCAGTGATGATGAGATGTTATGATGTGTTGAGTTGTATTGTATTACATTATGTTTCAGTGATGATGAAATGTTATGATGTGTTGAGTTGTATTATATCACATTGTGTTTCAGTGATGATGAGATGTTATGATGTGTTGAGTTGTATTGTATTACATTATGTTTCAGTGATGATGACATGTTATGATGTGTTGAGTTGTATTGTATTACATTGTGTTTCAGTGATGATGAGATGTTATGATGTGTTGAGTTGTATTGTATTACATTGTGTTTCAGTGATGATGAGATGTTGTATTACATTGTGATATGTTTGATGTGTTGTATTGTATTACATTGTGTTTCAGTGATGATGAGATGTTATGATGTGTTGAGTTGTATTGTATTGTATTACATTGTGTTTCAGTGATGATGAGATGTTATGATGTGTTGAGTTGTATTGTATTACATTGTGTTTCACTGATGATGAGATGTTGTGATGTGTTTAGTTGTATTATATTTATATTGTGTTTCAGTGATGTTGAGATGTTATGATGTGTTGAGTTGTATTGTATATATTACATTGTGTTTCAGTGTGATGATGACATGTTGTTTCAGTGATGATGTGTTGAGTTGTATTGTATTGTATTACATTATGTTTCAGTGATGATGAGATGTTATGATGTGTTGAGTTGTATTGTATTGTGTTTCATGATGATGTTTCAGTGATGAGTTGAGATGTTGATGATGTGTGATGTGTTTAGTTGTATTGTATTTATATTGTGTTTCACTGATGATGAGATGTTGTGATGTGTTTAGTTGTATTGTATTACATTGTGTTTCAGTGATGATGAGATGTTATGATGTGTTGAGTTGTATTGTATTACATTGTGTTTCAGTGATGATGAGATGTTGTGATGTGTTTAGTTGTATTGTATTTATATTGTGTTTCACTGATGATGAGATGTTGTGATGTGTTTAGTTGTATTGTATTACATTGTGTTTCAGTGATGATGAGATGTTATGATGTGTTGAGTTGTATTGTATTACATTGTGTTTCAGTGATGATGGTGAGATGTTATGATGTGGTAAGTTGTACGCCGAGGACCCGGACTTACTCTCGTTTTCACGGTGCGTTGTACAGTTGTCCTCTAAACTTGCGCAGTATTGCGACGCCTTGTATTGCAGTTTGTGTATCGCTGTTATGAGGTATTGACGTAGTAGATGATTAAGTCTTTGAGACGAATTGTTTTGCTTGTTGGGATGACTTGTGATGATATATTATACCATAAACTGTTGTTCTGTATTGTCAACATGTACAGGCTGTTGTGTTAATTACAAACAAATGATAACGATTGATGACCCGAGTATCATCAATGGTCCAAATGTGCTCTGTTGCCGCCTTTCTAGGAGCAAACCTCATTCATATGCTGTACAAATTGATACTTAAAACGGGGGAGCCTTACTAAAAGATTTATCATAGGTAACAGGTGTTGCAAAACTGTTAATTTGTGAGAAGCTTGTTCTCTTAGACTCTCCCATCTGTCTACAACCCACGGTTTGCACATCATGGTAAGAAATACATAAATCCTTCACACCACTTATCTCCAAAGGCGAGTACAGCCTGCAGATTGCCGCGTTTGACACAAAACGAAGCGGATTTTCATAACCATGCTATTTACATAATGGTTATATAATCGTTGCAATGGTCTTCAAAGGATTTCCGCTGTTGATAACAACCAATTTACTCAAGTGTAGAGTGTCCGTAATATCGAGTCAAGTACCATCTTGCTGCTGCCTTTGAAATATATTGCAGTGAAGACATGCTTATGTCAAACATGAGCGATAGTACACGTGTTGGAGTGTTTGTAGTGTATCAAATTGGCTTAACTGCTTCTTGGAACTATGCCGAGGGTGTCTTTCGTATTCTATATGACGGATTTTCACGGTAAAGCAATGCTTTCTTTGATGTTTTTGCATAAATCTTTACTTCATCGCGTGCTTGTCGTAAGATGACTAACGGGATCGGGTGGTCAGACTCGTTGACTTTGTTGACACATGTCATCGTATCTTAATTACTGATTGTGATGTTGATCACTGGATTGTCTGGTCCAGAGTCGATTATTTACAGACAACGACCAAAAAGCTGGAATATTGTTGAGTGCGGCGTTAAACAGCAAACAAACAAAATAATTCAGAGGAAATTTGGTCACGTATGTTTATACAGCACAATTATGAAGAGTATCGGTGTGCACAACCCAACCCCGCTAAACCGGACAATAGCGGGAAGTGAAATGGTTGTTATCTGAGGCACATGTGTCCACAATACAACCTCGTTAATCTGGACAGTAGCATTCTCGATGACGACTTCGTGTTAACACATTCCAACATTAACGAATCATTTTTGATAAGTATCTGTACCTATGACTTGATTATAGTATACATTATATGTATATGTGACACATAGTAATAGGTCGGACAGGATTGTTTCTGGATTAACTATCTCAAATCTATTTGGGTTTAACCATCTTGATAGTCAATAGTAGATTCACCAAATCTGCTTTGATGTGTTTGCAGACTGTGCATTCTGTAGTGTGTTGTCAGTTAGAGCACACGCGCGCATGCATGCACACACGCATATCTGTTGGTTAGTTGCATTGTATTTTTACATAAAAATCAGGAATTGATAACAGGAGGTGATATTAATAATCATACTTACATGTTTCGTACACGGTTTTCTCGGGCAAATATTTGCGAAGAAAATGTCTTCAGTTTATTTCCCACCAGGTGTCTAAAATAAGAAAGAAAGTGAAGGTTAGGATGAGTTATAAGTCAATGTTAGTCTGTATTGTCGTTGAACCATTTGTGCCCATAAACTGTCTTGAGACATACAAAATTATTCTTTAAGGCATATTGTGGTCATTTCAGCTGATATACTGTTGTACAATACATATATATCTTATTCAGGTTGCAATAGAGAATCCGTGAAGATCCGGGTTAGAGTTGGTCCCTGACTTGGCTGATGCATATCATGGTATCACAGTGGTCAGTCTCGCTGATTTGGTTGACACATGTCATCGTATCCCAATTGCGTAGATCGATGCTCATGATGTTGATCACTGGATTGTCTGGTCCTAATTCGATTATTTAAAAACCGCCGCCATATTACAGTAATATTGCTGAGTGCGGCTTTAAACAAATTTCAAAGCTTTACAGCTTTAGTTTACAGCTTTAGTGAAACCACGAGAACGGGTATGGTGCTGACAAACCATCCAGAAACATAATCGGGGAAAGCCGGGATTCGAACCCACCAACATAATTTTCTCGTATGCCGAAAAGGATGCAGCTCCGCACAGCGAATTACGGCGTCTTACAAGACTGGACCACCAGTTCCAAGTTCCAATAACTCGATCAGTGGAACAATAATGATACAAGTATTTGAGGTAACGAGTTTAAGAGTTTTCCCCTTCATCCATCACTGAGTACACATATACACTTAGCTCATCCTCGATGTGACAGGGTTATAGCGTCTGTAACAAGGATGATGAATTAGAGCGTACTTACCGTGTTGGCAGGCTACGGTATTGCCTGAAGGACTCATTCTAAATTTAGGTTCTGAGGTACAATTTATGACCTACATCGCGGGAGATTTACAATTGTGGAAAATATGATAAACATAGCAGCAGAGGATCAGTGAATTATCCCCACTGCGATGACCTCACAGAGTTGTCATGACAAAATATTACCAAACATACACTTACTTAGGCTATGAGGTAGAACAATTTTTCGCCATCTGTAGCGCTATTCACCGCAGGGGCGCCAGAAACAGGTTTCAAGGTTTAACACATTGTACCCAACTTAGGAATCGAACCAGGGTATTGCGTGAAGAGCGAACGCTATAACCATTAGGCTACTGCACAACCCTTTTCAGTTTTTGACTTTGTATGAACACGCTAGTGTTGGAAAGTGGTTGAAATCTCATAACTGATGATTGCTTCATTACCAACGAACAATCATCGATAAAAATTGGTTAGCGTCAATTTTCAGATTTTCCTATCCAGGTTGTTATTGCAGATATGTATAACATGATGCACCTTGCTACTTTAAAGTGATGTTGATATATCATGAACATAAACCTTCTGGGGTCTTCAACAAATATTCAGTCATGACGTTTCAGTTAGTGAAGTGAGTTTTCTAAGAATTAAACAAGTTTTCAGGCCCTGACAACTTCGAAGATATGTTCCATCGTCAAGTGTTTTAAAGACTAAAACAACAGTTCCAAAATAGTTTGTGTTCGATTATGAGAAAATGTGATCGATTGCTTGGTCGTTTGGTCACTTCGACCAATCTTCGATTATTTCAATTAATCGGAACACCACTAGAACACACCATGCCAAACATGGCCTCATGCATCTAATGTATTACATATTGGGCCAGTTTACTCCATTTTCTGTATTTCAATATACTCAACATCAGAGCTACAGTTTATTACCTACACTGCGGTCAGTTTCCGACAATGTCTGAACGTTCCGTTCCTGATCTGCTGCAGAGATGAGTACTTGAACAACCTGCAGAAATAACAGAGAGTGTCAGAGTGTCACAACAGGGAATGACGTGAGTGATGAATGAATGATAATCTTAAACCAGGAACACCCCGTCAATCAGTACTGTATGAAAACTGCCACGTGTTTCTGGAGGTAACTTTAAACGCTGGTAAGGTATATGATGTAAAAGGACAGCATTCTATACTAGGGGCTGCTTTTTCGGGCCCTGTAAAGCGTAGATTGCACTGGACAAATAAGTGGAGTAACGGGATTTCACTGTTACATGTTTTGCTTACAGATTCTTACATATACGAACACGCATGACTTTATGTTTCGCGGAAGTTGCCGGTATCTGTATTCTCTCCCTCATATGCACTCAAGCACACACGCAGGCAGACAGACACGCACGCACGCACGCACGCACGCACGCAAAACCCCAAACAGACAAAACCCATCAGCACAAACAGATTCTACTTACAGTTCGACAAGCTCCGTCAAGTTCCGGAAGTCTTGTACTGTGACTGATTGGATTTTATTTCCACTAATGCCGCTGCAAGGTAAATATGAATGTAACTGAAAAACACTCATAATCAAAATAATGATAATACCTGAAGGAAAACCAGCTTCAAACGAGGATAAGTTTCAGTGCCATACACAAGAGCATAATCAAACAAACGCTGAATGTATAATATGATGTTGATACAAACAAACAATTCCTTTTAAATTGAAAAGGAGCCCAGTAAGATGGGAGACCTGAACCTGAGGAAATCTAGACCTGCTTCATTTAGGACTTTACCATTCCAGAGAGGGCTAGGCAGTAGATGAAATAATGTGGCTGAGGGACTGTGAGACAGACTAATGTATAATTGTCATTACGAGAAGGGAACTGATATATTTTACACTAAAAACTGTTCTTGAACACAAGTCAGTATTTTTAAACACAAGTCAGTGTATCGAGATATGAGCAGTTCGAGACAAATATGATGTAAACTGGAGTTGATAACAGACTGGTACCTTCTTTCACCTTCACGTTTGTTCCCTTAGGTTTAAAGTTTACTTGTAGCAATTCATCTGCTATGTCAAGTCACGTAAATATCATTTCAATGCGGTTAATGTATCACGTATCTTCTCCCTTCAAGTATTATGATTGAACAAACCCAGCTGAAAGAAATTTCCCTTTTTTCTAATTGTGATGAGTTAAATAACAGTGACATCAAAATCAAATTTTGAATCCGTGCAAGTACACAATGTTTTTGGCAATGTTATGAGTCATTGTACATTAAACAACTTCATATAATCCCCATAGATCATGCCGCATTCTTTGGTATATTGGAAATAAGTCGATATTTTTGTCAGTCGCAATCAAATATCATTTCGTTTTTAACAAGCGTTCTGAATTCCACATCCACTCCACCTACTTAGTGCACGTAATTTAGTTCGACTAAATTCCCAAATGACATCAAATCAATCATCGGTGATCAATCGAGGCCAGATTTTGTCCTGATTGAATATAGTGTCAACTAACACGTGACCACGTGGGGTCATCTTCCGCGGACACGTATTATTGAATAGAGTCCTCGGGGAGCATTGGGTTGACAGTGAAAGCTTCGAGTTATCTTTCAGCAGAGTTTACTGACTTGCGGGGGTTGTCGGGGACGGTGACGGATCACTTGTGTTGCCCGAGGGTTGCCACGAAAACATGGACCTTGACGAATGTGTATTTACGTTAATAGATGAGAAGATGTCTTAAATAGACAACGTGTCCAAACAGATTTAAAATTAGTAAAGAATATCTTCATTTGCCTTGCATACACTTCGCAAGGGAATAGATCAATAGACATTTTGTGTAACGTTACAGCTTAATATTGGTCTTATTAAATTTAGAACAACGGGAGAGTTCTATCGATATACAACGTCTTTATTACTAATATGATTGACGTTTCGGTGTAGCTACTAACACCATTATCAAGCAAGTGATTTACTGAATTTTGCTTTACACATGAGGTAAGATGATATTGTGTTTGGGAATATTGACGAATGCGTATTTGAGTTAATAGATGAGAAGGTGTTTTTAATAGGCAATGTGTCCAGACAGATTTACATCATTAGTAAACATACCTTCATTTGCCTTGTGTATACTTCGCAAGGGAATAGATCGATTGCCATTTTGTGTAACTTTACAGTTTAACATTGGTCTTATTCAATTATTTTTACAGATGAGGTAAAATGATACTGCTTTTGAGAATGTGTATTGACGAATGTGTATTTGAGTTAATAAAAGAGAAGATGTCTTTAACAGACAGCTTGTCACAACAGATTTAACACATTAGTAAACATATCTTCATTTACATTGTATATACTTGGCAAGGGAATAGACAAATGGAGATTTTGCGTAACGTTACAGCATAATATTGGTCTAATTAAAATTTGTATTACAGATGAGGTAAGCTGATATTGTGTTTGTGGTTATTACACTTTCATTGCGATGTACTTGTATGTGTATGTGAGTGCTTGTACTAGTCCGGATTTCAGTCATCATCATCATCATCATCATCATCATCATCATCATCATCATCATCATCATCATCATCATCATCATCATCATATTTTTTTCTTTCTGTGAGATTTCTTGTCCTTGCACATGAAGATGCCACTCAGTCACATTAGATTCCAAGCCCATCAATAATAGTTTGATAGTCTTAATGCTGAAGGTTTAATGCCAAGGTAACAACAAGTACCATCTTTAAGTAATCGATATAATATGACGCTTTTGGGTGATCGAACCTTCATTTCTCCAGACAGACAATTAACCCACTTTACCACGGTGGTTCTTTTGATGAGATGTAGAATAATACCTTGTATATGTATTTAATGTCAAACGACGACACGTCGTACAAGGACCTTGCGTTTATCTGCTGTCATAGGTTGCAATATATATGGCCATTCACACATTTCTCACTTTGCTCCAATTACAGTGTCTACAATAAGATATGACTGGACACTAGATTGCAAAGCATGGAATCCATCCTCATAGACGCATGAAGAAATATGTGATAAATCGTGGCGGAAAGACCCCCTTAAAATATCAAGAAATGCTTGTCATTGCCTATTTGGGCAGAGATGCTTACACAATAAGTCGTCTGGAAAGTCTTGTACCGTTAAGAACAACATGATTAGTCTCATTGTAAACAGTACCCAAGGGTAGTCTAGACATCAAAGGACCATCCACAAATGCTATATGGGATTATGTGATGGAAGGTATATATATCTGGAGATCGGATGACACTCATCAAGATATAGGATTATGGAATGGAAGGTATATAAATATCCATGCTGTGTTATATCAGTTTTAAAACAAGCAATATTTAATGTATAGGTGATGTGAATAACAACTATGCATCGAGACGAGGTGAAGTGAATTGCAGTTCCACGTCGCATTCACGATGCCGTATAGCAACCATTAAGCGTATCATGTGGGCGTGCTTTTACTAATCTGGACTATTGCCGGCTTCAACCCACTGACATACTTTGCCAATTAATACCAATCTGGAATGCTCTACTATGATGCACTATACTGATTTCGAACAAACCAGTACGTGTTTTTACCTTGTCACTGACGAACGCCAGGCAGGGAAAAATCAAGTATCATAATTGGTATGACGCATCCAGAAATCAAACCGCCGATCTTCAGCTCTCCGGACAAGCGCCCTACCCACTAAGTCAAAGAGACGGTATAGAATAGCGTACAATACATAGATACGTAGACAGACTCACAGTTGGGTGACTCTCCATGGTATGTGTTTGGGCACTCCAGATAACTGTTGGTTTTCGCAATATAGATGAGTCTTACTCTTGCACTCGCACTGTTTAGGAATAGCGGACAACACTGAAAACAAGACGATATATCAACGGTGCATATTTCTTCATTATTGTTCTGTGAGACTTAAAATATTTTATATGATCACGACATTTGAGAATTTTCATTGTTTCCGTTACAGCGACACCTCGTGAACATACATTCATGTGGTCCATGGACATAAAACAAATTACAGTACAACCAGAAATTATTGAGAATTTAACGATTGTAATTTATTTTTATATTTTTCACGCATTACTCACGTATTAAATGTGAATATTAGCAGAACATAACTCCAGATTTAAAGACATGTGAACAGTTAGTATTTTGTCAAGTCACCATGGGCAGCAATGCAGGCTTCAGTGCGGCATACTACTGATCAAAGAAGTTAGAAAGTCGTGGTCCATGCTGTCCCAATATCGGACCACCTCTTCTTTCATTTCAGCAATATTTGTCAGATTTTTCTTATTGACACTTTCCTTCATAAGTCCCCAAACATTTTCTATTGGATTTAGGTCAGGGCTATAGCTTGGCCAATCTAATAATGTCATATTTGGGGTCCGAAACCAGGCCAGTGAATGCTTTGAACGATGTTTTGGGTCGTTGTCCTGCTGGAAAATCCAAACAATTCCATAGAACACGTGAGCAGATGGAAGTACATGTCCCTCGAGAATATCTGTGTACCGCTCACTGTTCATATTCCCTTCCAATACACAGAGGGGCGTTGCCCCTAACACAGATATGCCAACCCACACGTTACATTTCGGACTGTACTTTGGGCGCTGATACAAAGGTTTTTTTCAGTTTGTTTGGTCCAGAATTTCAGTGTATTAGAAAACAGCCACACAGAACTTTCATCTGAGAAAATCACATTGTCCCAGTTAAAATTTCTATGCTGTAAGCAACCGGTTCAACCTTCGCTACTTTTGTTCAGGTTTCATGATCGGTGATGGAATTCCTCGACTTTTCTGCCAACCTATTGCATGCAGCTCAGTTCTAATTGTCTCCTTACAGACAGCCACAGTTCCTCTATTAATCATATCCAGCCTTAAGTTTTCTAAACTCCTTCGTTTGCCTTTTAGAAACAAGATTACCAAGCCGCCTCCTGTCATCGACAGTCAATTTTCTGGGCCTACCTGCGCCTCCCTGGTGCTCAATGCTATATCCATTTGCAATATTTTTCAAAACACGATAAACAGTGGACAAAGGGATGCCTGTTCTACTTGAAATCACTTTAGCTGATCTGATGTCCTTGTTATAATACTCTAAAATCAACTTCCTCTTCTCTAAATCATCCATACTGAGGATCACTGAAAATGTCGTCTGCTAGCAAGTAAACAAAAGGGGATAACTCTTCACAAACTAATGAAAAAGGATTAACGGAGTTGTCTCTCTTAAATGAAACCAAGCACTTGATAGCTGGTCAAGGTTGTTTATACTAGAAATCCAACTAAACATATTCCTAAAATTCTCAATAATTCTGGTCATACTATATAAATTAGTGCAAAGTGGAGTTACTCGAAGTTCGTGCAAAGAGGTATGTCGGTATCAGATCATACTTCTGATATCTTCTACGTCATGTCGAAATAATGGACTTCGAGTTAAAGAGTCACATTGCAATTGTACATATCTATCAACCCTTTTGGGTTATTATTATCCAGTTAATTAAATAATGACACATTACTATGATACATTAACATACTTTTTCATGCTTGCACGATGAACCAAGAAAAACCGATCTATTTCTCCTACCCAAGGTGCTACTTGTCTTGTGTATTGTCAAATAGTCCTTTATATTCACATTTCTATCATACAGATTAAATTCTTGAAAATAAAGCTTTTGGGGGAGTAGAGTATACATCTTCACTTACCACATTCACGGGATTCCTCTTTTCTGTCAGCCTCTGGCCGTTTTTCATACAATGTTTGAAAATACTGATTGTGGTATTCATCGCCTGTGGGTGTAAGGGAATCCATATCAAGCATGTGTTAAAAGTTTTAATTTGCACAAAGTTGTAAATCAGCGTATGTTCTGTTTTTAGTTTTCAGATTCTAAAGAGCGGTCCAACCGTTTTGGACACAGCAGAGTTGTATCCCTTGGGCATGCGAGAAATAACGGGTTTGAATCCCGGTTAGCCCTGATTATACTGCTTGGCCTGCCAACATAACATCTGGGATAGTTGGTTTCACAAAGGACTCGGTTAAGAACTGGTCTCCAGGAGCCCATGCTGGTCGTAAGAGGCGACTAACGGGATCGGATGGTCAGGCTCGCTGACTTGGTTGAAGCATGTCATCCATTGCGTAGATCGAAGTTCATGATGTTGGTCACTGGATTGTCTGATCCAGTCTCCATTATCTACAGACCTCTGACATATAGCAGGAATATTGCTGAGAGCGGCGTTAAACAACAACCAACAACTGATTTCACAAAGAGGCAAACGTTTGAAACCTGTATTGGACTTTGTTTGGTCTTTCATTAAGCTGACACACAGCGGCGTTAACCATCACTCGCTCACTCACTCACTCATGTAAAAGTGATAAACATTTCATGATTTGAAGCAGAAGATAATGCAACAATAGCCTACATTTGGACTGTTCATCAGATCCATCCGGACAATCGTCGACGTGGTCGCAGATTTTTGTGCGGTTGACGCACACGTCGGAGGTGTCACATGGTACAGTGCCATCCGGACAGTTCAAGCTGTTTGTGTTGGACGAGGAGCCGGGCTCCTTGGAGTCTGTTGAGCACACTGAAATAAGCATCAAAGTCACTGAAATTAACATGTCTGTGACAAGGAGGCCTTCTGTTGTGCGACACTGAATACTGAAATTGACATGACAGACAGTGACATTTGAAACATATGGGGGACACTGACTGTTATATAATTATGCAATGGCCGTGATTGCATAAGATGCGTCTCGGAATGACATGTGCCAAACATAATTTGTCAAAAATGAAAGCAAATAATATTTAAAGTTTCCATATTTCCTGATTTTAAAGAAACACGCAAACTGTTGGACTTCCTCATCTATTACACTTAGTATAACTTAGCGGTAAGACATTATGCCATGAAGCAGGCTTCCCCATTGGAACCATTGTGCACCCTTTCTTGCGAATCTGTTTCCTTGTGCGTGTGAATCAGAATTTTCCCCCGGGTTGGCTAAGGCAAAAAAGCTTTTACTGATCTGATATCGTTCAGTTACCATCAAATATCAAATTTCCTTCAGCTGATTTACCCACCTTAACTAGAAACAAAGGAGGCCAGTGTGACCACCTCGTTTGTTTCATATTTAGATCTGTGCGTAAAGATTCAGAATGACAAAACACACTTTCAGCACGACTGCATGAGAATGAGGGATCACAGCTTTCCCTTCTTTGTCGAGCAATATTTCAGCAACTTCAGGCTTTGGTGTTCACTACCTGCTCTTTTTACCATGATTTCAAACAATCATGCGACTCTTGCCCAGACATTGTTTGATGAAGGTTACAACATTCAAGTCATGAAGTCAAGTGTTGGAATTCATCTTCAGTAACCCATGATTGTCGTAAAGGGCGACTAACGGGATCGGGTGGTCAGGCTCGCTGACTTAATTGGTTGACACATGTCATCGTATCTCAGTTGCGTACATCGATGCTCATGCTGTTGATCACTGGAGTGTCTGGTCCAAACTCGATTATTTACAGACCACCACTATATAGCTTGAATATTGCTGTGTGCGTTTTTAAACAACAAACAAACAAATAAAATGTAGGTGAGCGCTATTAAAACTCTTCATTACAATATTAATTAGTGTAAACAGCACCCCCACTCCCCTTACACCGTAGAAACTCTACGGTGCCAGCAGATCCCCTTACACACATGTATGTATGTATGTATGTGTGCGTGCGTGCGTGCGTGCGTGCGTGCGAGCGAGCGTGCCTGCCTGTCTGTGCGTGCGTGCATGCATATTCTCATGCATGCATGCATGCATGCATGCATGGATGGATGGATGGATGGATGGATGGATGGATGGATGGATGCATGTGTTGTCAGGTAAAATTGAATCCGTAAAACATTAGAAAAAACCCCAGTGTATTCATTGTTTAGAGGTTTGAACAAGACATGATACCCCGGTAAGATGTACTTTTGCACGAATCAAAACGAACATCGAACATGTGACCAAAGTCAGGACAGGCTCACGGTCGTGTTGTAGGGTAAACTGAAGCACGTATGTGCATTCCCCTAAACAAGACCCATCCTTACCCCCGATTGTTGTGAGATATAGTTCCCCATTGACACGTGTGTATGTGTGTGTGTGTGTGTATGTGTGTGTGTGTGTGTGTGTGTTTGTGTGCGCATGTTAGTATAAAGTCATACATGCCCTCGTGATCCAAGGTATTTCCAGCTTTCTCTTCTTAACGCATGTGTGTACGTGTTTGTGTACGTGTCTACGCGCGCGCATGTCTGTATATAAGCAAAACAATCTGCACCACGATGTTAATCCCCATTTCATTTCACCCCGCTGAAAAAAATCCCATGTATAACAGTAATTCTCAGTCATCAATCTAAGATGGCGTCTTCACTTACACAGTCCATCCAAAGACGACACATAACAAAACTATCGCAAAAACATATTTCCAGACTACTTGTTACAATTAAGAAACCAATCGACAAAATACCTCAGAGAATAACTACAGGTACATGTATAAGATATGCCCAAACAATGTTAGCTTCTAACATCAGTCGTCAGGTACATATGTCGTCACTTAACAAATAGTCCAATCAGCAGTTTTTTCAAGGTAAGTGATTGGAAGATATTTTTACCGTTCTAAGGGAATATTCTAATGATTGTAATGTATGACCAGGAGAGTATTTCTAAGATAGATGTAGAAAGTTGCGTGGCGCCAATAATGGAAAAGCGATCATACAACTCCCCGGCGGGGCTGTCACTCAACCCACGTACTTGTTAAGGAGGAATAGCTTTTTTCACTCCTTCGAATAACTCTCTCCCCACCTATTTTCTGAAGTTTTCAACACTTTGCGTGAACTCACAATCTCTTAAAACTTACAATCAAATTTGTTGAGGTGCAACGTTTCTGATCGATTTTTTCATGATAACAAGAATGACTTCATTTCAAAATGAGTCAAGGGTAAATGTGATTGTTGAAAATCGAAAATAGGATACAATTGTGTTCGAGTACTGCTCCCTCGCTGACATCCATATTCTATAGATCAATGCAAATAACCAAGAAGTTGTGTTTATAACCTATATGACCTCAGCGCAAACATTTAAAATGAATATACTCGTTCAGTCACAGTGTGTCAATCCATTAAATGTGAGTTGTTGCTTCATTAGACGTCAACAAAGAAGCTATTGTATTATGAGAACATGAGAAGCCAAGCCATGAGGAAACGAATCCAGTGGTCGGTAGCTAAAAAACTTATAGTCTGTTTGCAGTGAAAACGTACCGATGAATTTCACTTTAAGCAAAAAAGTAAATCAAATAAGGTGAAATTAAGATTGCGAATCCTCATAATTTGACCTTGCCAACTGAACATTTAAATCTCAGAATTTTATTCAACTTAGGATAAAAGTTGTTTAACAAACGAGCATAGTTTCAAATCGTTCTTATTGGTTTGTATTACATGGGGTATGCACTTTAAATGAAACACCAAGAACATGTAGGTTGGTCTAAGTTAACGTTCATCACGTACCGCACGTGCATTTGTTTTACTGTTCCAACTACTGCCCTTACCCCCTTGTAATACAAACCAATAATAGCGACACGTTTTCACTGCAAACAGATTATAGTTGGCAAAGAGAAAACTACAGACACGATGTACAGATTTACGTCCCAGACAACTGTTTGTTTTTCTAATTTAATGGCCACGAGAACTAATCGTTTTATCTTTAATGTATGGACTTCTACACACAACATTACTCAACAGAACAGGTGAGAATTAGTTTCGCCTGCAACACAGTCGACTTGTGGGCTATGTTTATTAGGTATTGTAACAGAGTTTCTTGGGAGACGTCGGTGCAGACGTTTCAGTCCTCGCTTCACCATCAATACATCACGTGATCTCGTTATCCTGTGAACAATCCATCTTCATTATGTGGTTATGCAAACTGTATCCAACTTGACAACGATTTCTTTTAACGACTTTGGTGAGTAAGTTTCTTGGATTCAACGCTGTTTGGAATAGTTTCCTCTTTTGTATCCGTTAAATGTAGAAGGGAAGTTCAACTGGGTTCAATAGCGCATACCTTTGTTACCACATTTTTGTCAATGTTACAACATTCTAAGCGCAAGTAAATCGTTGAAAACATTTTGCTGTAGACATTGATGTCCTATCCACATGCACCATATCTTTTCTGTATCAGATGAACAATTGACTTGCCTTTGCATGAGTTTGTGATGTATTCCACCGGTTGGACAGGAATCGATCATCTTTCGCGAACGCTTGGTATGTTCACTATTTGATGGTGATTCATTATCAAATATTCAATATGAAAGGTTTGGAGCTGTACAATATGTTCTAATCTTCATTTAGTGGAGATTGTTTGTGGAAGTGTTGGGTTCTTTTTGCAGTTTTAGAAGCTGAGTACTGCGTACTAACCGAACTAGACACATACATTTCGTACATGATGACAGGGGAAAGCCGTGTTTGACGTTTATTGGATGGACAATGAAATACGATATCGACCAGCATTTATATAACGGTCACGATTGCCACCAGATGGCATCGTGAAAGATGATAGTCAAATAAACTGGCAAAACTAGCTGATCTAATTTCTACATTGATTTCCCTCAGAGTTAACCGAGATGTTTAATGGTATTTAGGTGAGCCGAGTGATTGCCACGGATTTAGCAACAAACGACGCAGACAAAGACTATTCTAGTGATGCACCATCTGTACACGATAACAAATCAGCAGCACTCTCTGTTGCTTGACCAAGTAATGCTTATATACTAGGATAAATGAGAAATGTGTGACTGTACAAACACGACATGTGTCGCGCACCTGTTATCATGCAACACAGCATCAGAGCACCTTGACGTACTCCAACACCAAGCCAGCCCATCAGCCTCACAACAGTCGGACAAGACGTGTCTTCAATGGCTTACACCAACCAGGCATTTCGCATGGTTTCAACGCCGTATTCTTGGAATGTTCTCTGGTACAGAACCTACTTACTTGTTGGTAATCAGGACAATTAGGTATGCCTCAAGACGTCTTCATACTGCGCCACATGAGGCGCTAAACAGCACAGAAACACGGTGGCTTGGCCTATTCTGGTTGTTGATCGTGCTGTGTAGTGTGTGTTTCTGCATGTGTAAAAACTATCATGCTGAGGGCGGAATAAGTGAGAATGTAATCGATCTTATACCAAAGATGTTGTTTGTTTGTTGTTGTGTGTGTGCGTGTCATTAACTGCATTTGGGGGTGCGTATGTATGTACACATGGACGTGAGAGTTAGTGTATTTGTTTCGATATGTTAGTTGTATACTGAAGGGCGAGGACCTTTTTATGACAATGCTTCCTACAATCATAAGTTATAACTGCATGGTATAACTCCAGTACATTTACAGAACTCTGATTGTGTCATGAATGTGAATGAAAACAGTAGTGAAGCAATGTGTTCTGGAAAAGGTGAGCGAATCCTGCCCCACTGGTGGCATACATCACACACACGCACACACACACGCACACCCACACGCACACGTACACGCACCTGCACATGCACGCACGCACGCATGCACTC